TGGTTGAAAGAGTGCACTCAAAGAGCAGTTATCACTGTCAAACTGGGAGCGTGTATCTAGTGGGGTCCCAGGGGAGTCAGTCCTGGGTCTAGAACTAGTCAATATTTTCATTAATGAGTTGGATAATGGAGTGGAGAGTATGCTTATAAAATTTGATGACACCAAACTCTGAGGGATTGCAAGCACTTTGGAGGACAGGATTAGAATTCAAAATTACCTTGACAAATTGGGGAATTAGTCTGAATTCAACAAGATGAAATTCAATAAAAACAAGTGCAAAGTACTTCACTTAGGAAGGCAAAATCAAATGCACAACTACAAAATGGGAAATAACTGGCTAGGTGGTAGCACTGCTGAAAAAGAGCTGGGGGTTATCATGGATCACAAATTGAATATGAATCAGCAGTGTGATGCAGTTGTGAAAAAAGCTAATATCATTCTGGGGTGCATTAACAGGAGTGTTGTATGTAAGACACTGGAGGTAATTGTACCTCTCTACTCAGCACTGGGAAAAATGTGGCTAAATTGGAGAACAATAAAAATGATAAGTTTAGAAAACTTGACCTACGAGGAAAGGCTAAAAAACCAAAGGACTATGAACTGGGGATATTTAGTCTTGAGAAAAGAAGACTGAGGGGGGACCTGATAGGGGCTGTTATAAAGAGGACAATTACCAATGTTCGCTGAAGATAGGACAAGAAGCAACGGGCTTAATCTGCAGCAAGGGAGATTTAGGTTAGTTATTAGGAAAAACTTTTTAATTCAGGGGAGTTAAGCTCTGGACCAGGCTCCAAGGAAGGTTGTGGAATCCCCGTCACTGGAGATTTTTACAAACAGGTCAGACAAACACCTTCCAGGGATAGTCTGGGTTTCGTTGGTCCCGTCTCAGTGCAGGGGGCTGGACTTCAAGACTGCTTGAGGTTCCTGCCAACCCTACATTTCTATGATTCTGTGATGACAGCCACCAGCACTTTCCAGCATAACAGCTCCACCCACCCCACCCCCAGCTTGTGTCCTTGACCCCAGCACTCATCTTCTACACCTGCTCCTTCTCAGTGTGTTATCCTTCCTGCACAGCTAACCTTGTCCCAGGGAATCAGCCTCACTCTTGCCATCTGCTCCTACTGCCTCTGTGTTCTCAGCTGCTCCAGCCCCAACTGTGACCCCCATCCTGCTCCTTCTTGCTGCAGCTTTCACCTGCCAGACCTCCCCTCCCCCAGAGACCCCACTCCCTGCCTGGCCTGGCTCTTGCAGTTCCTGTGAATATCCCTTGGCTGTTGGTACACATTACCCTGGATTCACCACATACCCACTGTATAAACAGAGATCATTTAATGGCTGCTGTGACCGACTTGGGATATAATGGAATATGACGTGAGTGCTGGCTGACGCCTCTTGCCTGCCTGACAGAACTGTCTAATGCAGCCATCACTCCCAATCCTGCCTGGTAAGAGACCCCAACAAGGCATAGGGTTTAGAATGCCATAATTGTGTGACTCCAGTGTTGCTGTGGTTGTGTTATTTTCACATCCAGCAGACCCAGCTCTGTATATAACAGACTGCACACTCTGACATCCTCTAAAACAATACCATCAGCCTGGGTGCAGATATGGGCGCTTCCTACTCATGCATTGCATGCCTCACCTATGCACACATGCACACACGCACACACAGAGGCTCTGCTAAAACCAGGAAACAATGCTGACTGTGCCTGTGTCATATACATGACCTGGCACTGTCACAAACCAACTATACATCAGTCTTGCAAAACTCTGCTCACCCTTAGTGGGGCTGGAAATTCTCATGCTAGTTTTGCAGAGCTGATACATACACATACAGAGACTGTGTGTGTGTTTGGTGTCTGAGTGCTTCTAGGGACCCTGTCACCATAGTATCTGAGTGCTTCCCAAGCAGGAGCGGCACCAGGGTTTTTGGCATCCTAGGCGGGGGTCCTTCTGTGCTCCCAGTCATCGTTGGCAATTCTGCGGTGGGGGGGTCCTTCCGCGCTCCCGGTCTTCGGGGCACTTCGGCGGTGGGTCCCGGAGCGAGTGAAGGACCCGCCGCAGAATTGCTGCTGAAGACCTGGAGCGTGGAAGGACCCCCGGCCGCCAAATTGCCGCCCTCCCCCCCTGAATCCTGGTGCTCTAGGCGACCGCCTAGGTCACCTAAATGGAAGTGCCGGCCCTGTTCCCAAGTATTTAAAAAACAGACATGATAACACATTTTTCTCTATCTTCCAGGTCTGTATGAGAAATAGCTTAATTAGGGAGTGTTCATGCTTGCTGCTGGGAGTGGGTGGGTGTGTTTGCTGCATGTGAACAACTTATTCATGAGAAGCTAAGTAGAAGAAATGAGTTTTGCATTCATTTTGAGTGCAATGTGGCCTATAGTCATTCTTCTCACTTGTGGGAGTGAATTTCAGGTCCAGCTCCTGTGAAAGTTCTGTCCCTGGCACTCACAAGTCTCTCTTAGGCTCCCCAATACTCACAGATCTGCTGGCTGACACTTGCATTGTTTGGCTGGAATGCAGCTGTTGTGGGAGGGTGGGGAGGTTTTTTAGGTAGTGAGGGCACGTGCATGGAGGGCTTTGACCATTACAGCAGAAATCCTGAGCTGGACTCTGTATTCCATAGGGAGCCAGTGCACAGCGTGGAGCGCTGGGGAGATATACTCCTGGCAGCCTGTGCTGCTGTGTTCTGTACTAGTTGGAGCCATTTCAGGCTGTGAGGCTTCATTCCTAGGTAGAATGAGCTGCAGTAATCAAGTCTGGAGATCATTGGTTCATGGGTTATCATGGCCAGTTCTGTATCTGATAGGATGAGGCACATTCTTCTGGTCCGTTGCAGATGGGAATGGGCACTTTTGCCATTGTGGTATTATAGCATTAAGTCCCAAAGGACCCCAAGGGGGCAAAATCACACAACAATGAACAGGCAGAGGCCTTTGATAGGGGGGGAATGTTTGAAAGGAGGCCAGGTGTGATGCTGGCGGACCAGGTGCCAAAGCCCCAGGTCTCACTGAACACCATGGCTGGAAGCCATGCCAATTCCCTTCTGTATTAGTATAGCTCAAAGAGATTGTTAAATATATGAGAATGTATTTGGTGTTTAAACGTCATGAAAATTAATGGATGCTGCATGCATTGTTTTTCCTTATCTGTATCCTGTTATAAAGTAATAGCAAACATTTACATTGCATATATCCTGTAACCAAATAACACATCAAATGAGAAAGAAGCCTTGGGTAATGCAAATGAAGAACTTTAACAGAAAAGTGCTAATTCTTGCACATTTCAAAGATCCCCGGAGTTATTCAGGGAAGCCCTAAGAGACTTTTGGGAAACTGGCAGATAACTACATTTCTGCTACCATTTGGGAATTAGAGACTGTGACTCACCTGCACATATATTTTACCTGTTGTAACCTCTCAATAACTCCCATTTATTCTTCCTAGCTAATAAACCTTTGGTTAGTTTACTATAGAATCGGTGACCAGCATTGTCTTTGATGGGAGATCTAGAATACAAATCGATCTGGGTCAGCGACTGGTCTCTTGGGACTGGGGGTAACCTGAATATTTGTGATTTTTGGTATAAGTGACCATTTATCATATAGTCCAGCTTGCCTGGGTAGCAAGATAGACTGGAATGTCTAAGGGGACTGTCTGTGACTCCATTATAATATTACTGCAGTACTTTAGGAGTTCACATTTGTTACTGGCTTGGAGAAATCTAATTACAGAACCAAGTTGGGATGTTTGCCCTGCTTCTGACAGTGTGCCCTGAGGTGGGTACGCATGGTTGTGAGGCCTCCAGACAGCGGGACACCAGGTCTTCCAAGTGCTTCCCTATTTGCCCCCACTTGGCCAGGCTCAGCTCTAGACAGCTGCTGTTCACTTGGACACTGGATGTGTAGGAGATGTAGAGTTCGGTGTCCACTGTGAGCTGCTGGCATTCACCTAGGTTGTCTCACCAGCTCTCTTGGTGGCTTCTTATATCATGTTAAATACCATGGTGGGGAGGGCTGGGCCCTGGGGGACTCTGGGGACAGGACCAGTTCCCAAGACAACCTTCTGGGTTCGGTCTGAGAGGAAGGACCCAGAACTGCTTCAGAATGTTCCCAATCCTGAGTGCAGCCTTGGCAGATGGGACAAGAGTGTTTGGTGACCAACAGTATCACAAGCTGCTGAGAGTTCAGTTGGCTGAGTCTGTGTCTGGAGTTCCCTTGTCTAGGGGCAGTGAGAGTCATCTCTGTACTGGGCTTTGGCTTAAGGCCTGGCTGAGAGGAAACCAGGATTCTCACATCTAAGAAGTTGTTTTTATTGGGCTAGACACCAGGCAGTAGTTTGTGAAATCTCTGCCATCAAAAGAGCACATTACTGCTGTCATAATCCTACACACACACACACCCCATGAACATGCACACATGCGGGCGTGCACACATGCACTGACAGACACAATCTGGTGCTATTTGTGTCATAAATGTACCCGCTAGTGCAGATAAACTCATGTGTCTCCTCAACCCCCTCCCCATCCTACCCCGCTGCAGGTACTGCCACCCTCTTGCTAACTAGTATTTGCAGCATTGTCCTTTCAAAATGTCTCCTTGCTCTCTAGATGGAGAAGTGCTGCTGTGGAAGAACAGGGGCTGTAGACATGGAGGCGATCGCTATTGTTTCGGCGATGTTACACGGCGTACCTGCCTCCCCCACCCCACAGATGTGTGCAGCCTGCAAATCCAGGCTCTCTCTTGTATGCTCCTGCCAGCTGCTGCTGGCTTTGTCCCTTGGGAGCTCCCTGACTCCCAACCCCCTGAACTTCAGTGGTTTTCTGGGTGTCCGAGAACAGGCAGGTGCCCCCTGGGAGTCGGGACTGACAGCAGAAGGGACAGAAGCAGCCCGGAGCCTGTTTGGGTTGTTCCTTCCCGAGAAGGAGAAGGATGCTCCCGGCTGTAGCCAGCGGCAGGGATGCTGGGTTGCTAGGAGACAGGTGAAGAGAGAGGACCGATGTTCAGAGGCGGGAAGCTCAGGTACCTGCTGCCCTCTGGCAAACGCTGCCCAGGAATGGCAGGAAGGACAGTGGCGGCTGCACCCGGGCTGCTGAGGCGGCCTGGAGCCCGAAAGCAGCCGGTTGCAGGTCGGGGATTCCGGGGGAGGCCCGGGGCGGGGAGCTGCGGCGGATGCTGAAGCCCAAGCAGAGCCCCGCCAGGCTGCGGGAGGCTCCGGGTCAGGCAGACGATGCTGGAGCTGCCGGCTCCCTTTGCTGCTCCCGAGCCCTGCCGGTGCTAACCCCACTCCCCGGGGCTGACCATCCCCTCTGAGCCCCGCCGCTGTAAGTACCTGCCGCAGCCCGCGCTGGGAGCGCCAGGACGGCTGCTGCAGGGCTGCGGGGCGGCGAAGGGGCCGAGGAGAGAGCGAGGCACAGCGAGCGCTGCTCTCCGAGCTGCAGAGCCTGAGTGCGGAACCGGTGCCCTTGGGGCCCCGCAGCTGCGGCCGGAAAGGGCAGCCGGAGCGGGGGGAACGAACCCGCCAGGAAAGCCGCAGCAGGGCCCCGAGGGAGAGACACACCTGGGAGGGCTGAGTGCGGGGCTGCTGGAGCCCGAGGGACGGAGCCTGCGGCTGCTCGGAGGGGGGATGGAGCGAGGCGTGCAGGGCTCGCGGTGTCCTTGGGAAACCCGCAGCAGCGCAGGGAGCGAGGAAATGCAGAGAGATGCGGACAGGTAAACAAAACAAGAGGCAGAGGCTCCCCGGGGTTCCTCTTACTCCTGCCCTTGTGTCTGACCCTTCCCAGAGCAGCCGGGAGGGGCGCCCCGTGTTCAGGAGACCCGTGGGGCATGGGGGGGGGGTCCAGAATGAGGCTTCCACCCCATGCCAGTTACTGACGCTGCTGAACCCTGAGAAATGCCAAGCTGCTTCTCAGGAGGGGACTCTGTACTGATGGTGACACCAGCCAGAAGGAGAACTGAAAACCAAGTGGGAAAAAGTAAAGGCCGTCCCATCCCAGTACCTGTACATCAAGGCTGTATGGTATGGCAGAGGGCAGTGTGCCAATAGAGGTATGGCGAGGCTTGATGGAATGGCAGAGCACAGTGTGCCGGTAGCAGTACAGCATGGGGGTACGGAATGGCAGAGGGCAGTTTGATGGTAGCAGTAAGGCGAGGAGGTATGGAATGGCAGAGGGCAGTGTACTGGAAGCGGTATGGCTAGGCAGTATGGAATGGTAGAGGGCAGTGTGCTGGTAGCAGTGCGGTGAGGTGGTATGGAATGACAGAGGGCAGTGTGGCGCTAGTGGTATGGTGAGGTGATATGGCGTGGCACAGGGCAGTGCACCGGTAGCAGTAGGGTGAGGCGGTATGGAACGACAGAGAGCAGTGTTCCAGTAACGGTACGGCGATATGGTGTGGAATGGCAGAGGGCAGTGCAGGTAGCGGTATAGTAAGGTGGTATGGAATGGGCAAGGGCAGTATGCCAGTAGCAGTTCAGCGATGCGGTACGGAAATGCAGAGGGCAGTGTGCTGGTAGCAGTATGGCAAGGCAGTATGGCATGGCAGAGGACAGTGTACCAGTTGAGGTACGGCGAGCTGGTATGGCATGGGCGAGGGCAAGGTGGCGGTATGGCGTGTTGGTATGGAATGGCAGAGGGCAAGGTGCCAGTAGCAGTACGGCAATGTGTTATGGAATGGCAGAGGGCAGTGTGCCAGTAGCGGCATGGTGAGGCAGTATGGAATGACAGAGGGCAGTCCCAGTGGTTGTACAGTGAGGTGTTATGGAATGGCAGACGGCAGTGCCGATGGCTGTACGGCAAGGTGGTATGGCATGGCAGAGGGCAGTGTGCCAGTAGTGGTACGATGAGGCTGTATTGAACGGCAGAGGGCAGTGTGCTGGTAGCTGTATGGCTAAGTGGTATGGCATGGCAGAGGGCAGTGTGCCAGTAGCGGTATGGCATATCGGTATGGAATGGCAGAGGGCAATGTACCGGTAGTGGTATGGCAAGGCGGTATGGCATGGTAGAGGGCATGTTGCCGGTAGTGGTAAGGTGAAGCTGTATGGAACGGAAGAAAGCAGTGTGCTAGTAGCTGTTTGGTGAGGCTATATGGAATGGCAGACTGCATGGTGCCAGTAGTGGTATGACAATGAGTTTTGGAATGGCAGAGGGCAGTTTGCCAGTAGCAGCATGGTGAGGTGGTATGGTATGACAGAGGGCAGTCCCGCTGTCTGTATGGTGAGGTGGTATGGCATGGCAGAGGGCAGTGTGCTGGTAGTGGTATGGCCAGGGCCGGCTCCAGGCACCAGCATTCCAAGCAGGCAATCTGCAAGGGGCGGCAGTCCGTGTGTTTTTGCCACCCCAAGCAGCGCGCTGAATTGCCGCCTTGGACGGCAGGGGCAGTCCGTGTGCCATTAGGGTGGCACTAATGTGGGGGCGGCGGCAATTCAGCGGCAGCTTCTATGTTCAGCTGCCTGCAGCGGCAATTCGGCAGCTTCTGTCTTCCGGATGAAGGCAGAAGCTGACGCCGAATTGCCGCCGCCGCGGAAATGTGCATGCCGCCCTAACGGCACATGGACTGCCCCTGCCGTCTGTGACGGCAATTCGGCGCACTGCTTGGGGCGGCAAAAACAGTAAAGCCGGCCCTAGGTATGGCGAGGCAGTATATCATGGCAGAGGGCAGTGTGCCAGTAGCGGTATGGTGATTCGGTATGGCAGAGGGCCAGGTGCCAATAGTGGTACGGCAATGCATTATGGAATGGCAGAAGGCAGTGTGTCAGTAGCAGCACAGTGAGGTGGTATGTAATGACAGAGGGCAGTGCCAGTGGCTGTATGGCGAGGTGGTATGGAATGGCAGAGGGCAGTGCCTGTGGCTGTACAACAAGGCTGTATGGTATGGCAGAAGGCAGTGTGCCCGTAGTGGTACGGTGAGGTGCCATGGAATGGCAGTGGGCAGTTTACTGGTAGAGGTACGGTGAGGCAGTATGGAATGGCAGAGGGCAGTGTTCCAGTTACAGCATGGTGAGATGATGTGGAACGGCAGAGGGCAGTGCTGGTAGCGGTACGGTGAGGCAGTATGGCCTGGGCAAGGGCAGTATGGCAGTAGTGGTATGGCGAGGAGGTATGGCATGGCAGAGGGCAGTGTGCTGATAGTGGTACGGTATGTCGGTATGGAATGGCAGAGGGTAATATGCTGATAGCAGTAAGGTGAGGCGGTATGGAATGGAAGAGGGCAGTTTGCCAGTTGCGGTATGGCTAGGCAGTATTGCAGAGGTTAGTGTGCCGGTAGCGGTACGGTGAGGCGGTATGGCACAGCAGAGGGGAGTGTGCCAATACGGCAAGCCAGTATTGCACAGCAGAGGGCAGTGTACCAGTAGTGGTATGGCGAAGTGGTTTGGAATGGCAGAGGACAGTTTGCCCGTAGCTATATGGCTAAGCAAGATGGCAGTTTGCCAATAGTGGTAAGGCTAGGCAGTATGGAATGGCAGAGGGCAGTGTGCCAGGTGCAGTACGGTGAGGCGGTACTGCATTGGCAAGGGCAGTATGCCGGTAGTAGTACTGTGCGGTGGTATGGCATGGCAGAGGGCAGGGTGGCGGTATGGTGAGTTGTTATGGAATGGCAGAGGGGAGTGTGTCAGTAGCGGTATAGCGACGCGGTATGGCATGGCAGAGGGCAGTGTGCCAGTAGCGGTATGGTGAGGTGGTATAGAATGGCAGAGGTCAGTGTGCCAGTAGTGGTATGGCGAGGCGGAATGGAATGGCAGAGGGCAGTGTGCCAGTAGCAGTACGGCAAGGTGGTATGGCATGGCAGAGGGCAGTGTGCCGGTAGTGGTATGCTGAGATGGAATGGCAGAGGGCAGTATGCCGGTATCGGTATGGCAAGGTGGTATGGAACAGCAGAGGGCAGTGTGCCTACGACGAGTCGGTATGGAATGGCAGAGGGCTGTGTACTGGTACCAGTACGGCGGAGCAGTATGGCATGGCAGAGGGGAGTATGCCAAGGGGTGAATGTCAGGGCTCTGAGTCGTCTTCCCTGCTTTTTCCTAGATCCCCATGTCGGAGCAGAACAGCACCAGTGATGGGGATGCGGATCCCCATCACAGCATGTCTATGCTCTTGCTACTTGTGCTGGTCTTCTTCATCATGGGACTTGTGGGGTTCCTGATCTGCCATGTCCTGAAGAAAAAGGGCTATCGCTGCCGGACCTTTCGTGAAGAACTAGACCTGGAGCACAAGGAGGTGCTGACGGAGCTGCAGGCCAGTGAGTAATGGGGCAGCAGGGTGGGGGAGGGGCTTTCAGCTGGACCCGTTCTGCATGTCTTGGCAGCCCCAGCTCACTAACAGACTGGAGTGCTGAACCTGGGGAGCCTATGGACGGCACTGGTGGGATAAGCTATACAGCGAGTGTGAGTGGGTCATAGTGCGTAAATGGCAGTATAGTAAATGGCAAGAAACATGTGCACTGTACATGTCACATGAGTGGGAGGGGCCGGGGGAGCAGAAGGAGCAGCCAATATCAGGGTGGAAGATAAAGGGCCCTCATTTTAACATGTCACCAATAGGGTAAGTTCAGCCCTGGTGTAACTGAGTACGAGTCCCACTGATTTAATCGCGCCTGCTTTCGCTAAGGGCTGAATGTGTAATTTACACTCCTTTTCCATTCACACTGACTGCCAGATCGGTGGCAGTTCCATTTAACGTTCACAGCAGCCGTGTAACTTACACCATCATTATGTCACCACTGAATTTGGCCCTGAGAGTAGAACTCTCTTTGACTGTGTCTGGCTCAGAGATACAGCAGTGACATGCCTGGGGGATTAACAGGGCCAAGATCATGAGGGAACGAAAAGCAGGGGTGCATTGCCTATGGGCCCATCTCTGTTTGGCCATTCCAACCCTGCCACAGGAAAGGGAGAGCCACACACCTCCACTATCTTAACTGAGAGAGATCTCTTGGCATATCTGAGGCCACCAGCACTGGTAACAAATGAGTGTCTGCATCTAGAGCCTGCTGGGCGCTGGGTCAGGATGACAGCACAAGGTTGCTTTCATAATATAATCCCACACACACTTTGTAAAGGCAGAGCTGCTGCAGAGTGTGTTGCTCTGTAGCAGTGTTAATATCACAGATGGTTCTTAATGGAAGCTGGAAACTCGGTTAAGGTTCCAACACCTCGTTTCTGACTCACGTCCCCATCTATTTTTTAATCTACAAGCAGGAGACCCTCATCAGCTGTGACACAAAATGCCAGTCTGTCTTGTTGGGTATGTTCTTCAGCTGTATGTTTCTATAGCCTACATGTACCCTTCAGCCTAGATCAGGAGAGGGGGCGTTTCTACTATGGTTCAGGAGGCTGCCAAAGCTGTCTGTCTGTGAGATCTGGACCCCAGGCTGGAAAGGGTCCTCAGATCTGGCAGTGCGGACCTGAAGGCTGTTAGAGACCCCTGCCCTGCTGCCCTGTACCAAGCAGGACTCAGACTGAGTGAGCAGAAGAGCACGTGAGGGAGCTACAAGGTGGCTTGCCATCCCCCTAGTTGACTTGGTGTGAGAGCTGAAGGAAGGGGATTTAGGGCAGAATCAGGTGCTGCCAAACAGGGCCCTACAGAAAGCAGCTCGCGTCTCCAGCCATGGGGAGAGGAGTAGAAGTAAAACCCTGCTTGGTATATGAAGTGCTCTGGGTATGTTGCTGGGTATGTAGAGTGGGTGGGATAAAGTTGGATTTCTGGCTGGAATGTGAAAGATGGCATCTCCCATCCCTATGAGCAGGGTGATCAGGTCAGGTGTAATAGGGCTGCTAGTACATTTCTGGGGCGTGTAATCTACTCTCTAGCCCCAAGTGGGACAGCAGCTGAGGGAGGGGATGGTCTACAGATCGCAGGTGAGGCATAAATGCAAGATGATGCAGTCTCTGGCTGGGAGCAGGAGGGTGGGCTGGAGGGTGACTGAGCCTCTGGCCTGTCTAGGGGGAGAAGGTGCAGAGGGAGGGTAGGCATGACATTGGGGAAAGGTCCATGTTGCCAGTGGGGAAGGATGAGGGGGCAGCATTAAGTGGCTCTGGTTTGGAGGTGGAGGAGAGGATAGAGTTAAGGTTGGTTTGGAAGTATGGAAGTTTCACTGAAAATCTCCTGTATTAATTGTGTTCAGTCAGACACTGAGCCATTCTGTCAGTGCTGTTCTGAGGGGGGACGTATTATCAGCCAGAGCTCAGCCTTAGCCAGGATTGTTTGGTAATTTCCTTAGCTCAGACTGGCTGAGCAGCTCTTGCATAACTGCAGCGAGTCCTGCATTTCAGCAGTGGGTTTGGGAGAGCTGCGGGCTCAGACTGCACAGAGCATCTCTAGCTGGCAGTGCTTACACCTTCCATGGAGCACATGTGGCTCTCACCACCATCGAACCCCCTCCCCCAACTGCACTGGTGGACTTTCCAGGAAGCCCCAGACCCAGGTTTGAGTAGCTTGGCTTAATGGAAACATATCTGGGCTTCCCTGAAATCATTAGCTTTGTACGCTCAGCCACTAGAGGGCTCAATCCAAAGCCCATTGAAATCAGTAGGAGTCTCTCATTTGCTGGATCGGGACCAGAGATTGCAGCCGTGGGAAATGCTTCATTTCAGGCCTCCCTAAAGTTACAAGCTCTGCTGGCATGGTACTCAGGGGTCCGCACTTCATGGTACAGCTCAGCTTTTAAATAACTAGAAAAGTTTTCACAGGGCTCAGAATCCAGGGCCTCTATGGGAACCACTGAGGAGGCCCCTCCTTGACATTTCGTTCTGCTCATTGCAAGCAGAACACGTGAGGCTCTGAGAGTGGCCAGGCAAACCTAGCACCCCTACATGAGCGTGGCCTTGGGGAATGCATCCCAGGAAATGTTTGTGATGTCTGATGACAAATCACTCAGGGGCGTTTGTTCAAACCAGGTCTTAAATCAAAATAAATCATATGGTGTATCCTGGAAAACTGAACGAAAATTACAGAGCTAGGATTTTAAATGTTCTGGGGTCTCCCAGTCCTGCTGGCAGCCAAGGGGGTTCTGAGGGCCAGGTGTGAGCAGCAGTCAATTCAGCAGCCAGTCAGCTACAGTAATGCAGGGGGAGCTGTGCCGCTGGTTTAGGGAGCAGCCTGCTTTGTCTCTGGTTTTTGGAGTTCTTGTGTGCTGTTGTTCTGAATTGTAAATAATAAAGTAGGGTCAGATTGCAAGCACCCAGCAGGAGCATTAGTTTGTTTAGTTAACGTCTCTGTGTGTGTGTGTGTGTGTGTGTGTGTGTGTGTGTGTGTACA